TCTGGGAAATAGTAATGAAAATTAATTGGTAGTAATAGGAAAATATAATAATATTTTGTTTCATTTGTACAACATTCATATTAATCGATTTCTAAAATAAAGCATAATCATATGTGCAGATTAATCCATGACTTAACCATTGAAAACAATGATCTTATGCCCTCTCCCAACTTTGAATTCCCTGTGTTCAGAGCCGAAGAAGAGGATAGCGAAGAGATTCCTGATGAAATTTCCCGTTTGCTTGAGCACGATGAAAAGACTATTCAGCCGTTTGAAGAGCCTATAGAGATGATCAATTTGGGTAATGAAGAAGATAAAAAGGAAGTCAAGGTCGGAGCATTGCTTATCCCAGAGGTCAAAGAGAAAATGTTGGAGCTTCTCAAAGAGTATGTTGATGTGTTTGCTTGGTCCTACCAAGATATGCCAGGTTTGGACAACAATATTGTGGAGCATCGTTTACCGTTGAGACCTGAATGTCCGTCGATTAAGCAGAAGTTGAGAAGGACTCGTCCCGATATGGCTGACAAGATCAAAGAAGAAGTTCAAAAACAAATTAATGCAGGTTTCCTTGTTACATCAGTCTATCCTCAATGGTTAGCCAATATAGTGCATGTTGCTAAGAAAGATGGCAAAGTTTGAATGTGTGTAGACTATAGAGATCTGAATAGAGCTAGCCCAAAGGATGACTTCCCATTACCGCACATTGACGTATTGGTCGACAGTACCGCAAAGTTCAAAGTCTTTTCTTTCATGGATGGTTTCTCTGGTTACAATCAAATCAAGATGGCACTAGAAGATATGGAGAAGACAGCTTTCATTACACCTTGGGGAACATTTTGTTATCGGGTTATGCTGTTTGGTTTGAGGAATGCTGGTGCAACATACCAAAGGGCCATGACTGCTTTGTTCCATGATATGATGCATAAAGAGATAGAAGTGTATGTAGATGACATGATTGCCAAATCACAAACTGAAGAAGATCATTTGGAACATTTATTGAAGTTATTCCAGCGTTTGAGAAAGTATAAACTTCGTCTGAATCCCAACAAGTGCACTTTTGGTGTTCGTTCTGGAAGACTTCTGGGTTTCATTGTCAGTCAGAAAGGTATTGAGGTAGATCCTGATAAAGTCAAAGCTATTCGGGAAATGCCCGCACCCAAGACGGAAAAACAAGTAAGAGGATTCCTTGGGAGACTGAACTATATTTCTAGATTTATATCTCATATGACTGCTACCTGTGGGCCGATTTTCAAGCTTCTCCGAAAGAACCAAGGATGTGTGTGGACAGAATATTGTCAGAGAGCTTTTGATAGCATCAAAGAATATTTACTTGAACCTCCCATATTGATTCCTCCAGTGGAAGGAAGACCTTTGATTATGTACCTGACTATATTGGAAGATTCCATGGGATGTGTGCTTGGTCAACAAGATGAGACTGGAAGAAAGGAACATGCCATATATTATCTGAGTAAGAAATTCACAGACTGTGAGTCTCGATACTCAATGCTTGAGAAAACCTGTTGTGCTTTAGCTTGGGCTGCTCACCGTCTGCGCCAGTATATGATTAACCACACCACTTGGTTGATCTCCAAAATGGATCCGATCAAGTATATCTTTGAGAAGCCCGCCTTATCTGGAAGAATAGACCGTTGGCAGATGTTGTTATCCGAATATGACATTGAGTATCACACTCAGAAAGCAATCAAAGGGAGTATTTTAGCCGACCATTTGGCTCACCAACCAATTGACGATTATCAATCCATCAAGTTTGATTTCCCAAATGAAGATGTTATGTACTTGAAAGCTAAAGATTGTGAAGAGCCGTTACCTGAAGAAAGACCTGATCCCGAATCCCATTGGGGTTTAATATTTGACGGAGCTGTGAACTCTTATGGAAATGGAATTGGGGCAATCATCGTCACTCCCCGAGGTACTCATATCCCGTTCACGGCGAGATTGAAGTTTGACTGCACGAACAACATGGCTGAATATGAGGCATGTATTATGGGTCTCGAAGAAGCAGTGGATCTAAGGATTAAGATTCTTGATATTTACGGAGATTCGGCATTGGTAATTAATCAAATCAAAGGAGAATGGGAGACTCGTCATCCTGGTTTGATCCCTTACAGAGACTATGCTAGAAGATTGTTAACTTTCTTCAACAAAGTGGAATTACATCATATCCCTAGAGATGAAAACCAAATGGCTGATGCTTTAGCTACTTTGTCTTCAATGGTTCAAGTGAATGGTTGGAACGATGTGCCTACAATCCGGGTTATGCGCCTCGACAGACCTGCTCATGTGTTCTCAGTAGAAGAGGTCACCGACGACAAACCGTGGTTCTATGACATTAAACGTGTTCTTCAAACTCAAGAGTACCCGCCTGGGGCATCCAATAAAGATAGGAAAACGTTGAGAAGATTAGCAAGCAGTTTCTTCCTCAATGAAGAAGTATTGTATAAGAGGAATTACGACATGGTCTTGCTCAGATGTGTAGACAAACATGAAGCAGACATGCTGATGCAAGAAGTACATGAAGGATCCTTTGGCACTCATGATAACGGACATGCGATGGCTAAAAAGATGTTGAGAGCTGGCTACTATTGGATGACAATGGAATCTGATTGCTGCAAATATGTGAAGAAATGTCATAAATGCCAGATTTATGCGGACAAGATACATGTGCCACCGACCCTCCTCAACGTTATCTCTTCACCTTGGCCTTTCTCTATGTGGGGAATTGACATGATTGGAATGATTGAACCCAAAGCTTCAAATGGTCATCGTTTCATCTTGGTAGCGATCGATTATTTTACTAAATGGGTGGAAGCAACATCTTACGCTAATGTAACCAGACAGGTGGTAGTCAGATTTATCAAGAATCAGATCATTTGTCGATACGGCATCCCGAGCAAGATCATCACTGATAATGGTTCGAATTTGAATAACAAGATGATGAAGGAGCTTTGTGAGGAGTTCAAGATCGAACATCATAATTCTTCTCCTTACAGACCGAAGATGAATGGGGCAATTGAATCTGCTAACAAGAACATCAAAAAGATTGTCCAGAAGATGGTGGTAACTTATAAAGATTGGCATGAAATGCTTCTGTTTGCTCTGCATGGATACCTTACTTCAGTTCGAACTTCAACAGGTGCAACCCCTTTTTCCATAGTTTATGGCATGGAAGCAGTGCTTCCCGTGGAGGTTGAGATCCCGTCTATGAGAGTGTTGATGGAAGCTAAACTTTCTGAGGCTGAATGGTGTCAAAGTAGATATGATCAGTTGAATTTAATTGAGGAAAAGAGATTGACAGCATTGTGTCACGGTCAATTATATCAGCAGAGAATGAAGAAGGCTTTTGATAAGAAGGTTCGACCACGCGAGTTCAGAGAAGGTGACCTTGTGCTCAAAAAGATATTATCTTTCCAACCTGATTCTAGGGGCAAGTGGGCCCCGAATTATGAAGGACCGTATGTCGTTAAGAAAGTTTTCTCTGGAGGTGCCATGATTCTCACAAATATGGACGGCGAAGAGCTCCCGCGCTCCATGAACGCCGATGCAGTCAAGAAATATTTCGCTTAGGTTTGAGTGGACAATTTGCTAAGTTGAAAACCTGAAAGGGCGGCTTAGGCAAGCTTTTGGTCAGACCATTCTTGGCATTTGAGCATATTTCGGAATTCAAAGTGGTTAGGGAGAATAGTGATCATTGTTTTTGTGTAACCTTTTTCTCTCATGTACTATTTCCCAAAAAATTTGTAAACCATTGGAGTCGCATTGTTAGCGAACTACCATCCTATTAATGAAATTTTGAGCATTTATCTTTTTTGTGGGCAAAATTTCAGCTTTTACGGAAATAATTGAAACAAAGCTATTTAACGCATTCCTATTTTTAATGTGTCGTTGAATACTGAAGGGAATATTAACAGTTGTTCCAAGGATGGTCAAGCCATGAAATGCAAAACAATACAGTAATTTATCCTTGCATGATGAACATGTTTTCTTTCAAAATCGTCATGAGGTGTTGGTTGTGTAAACTTGCGTTTCTCGTGGTACTAAGCTTGGTGACTCCCCAGCATTTCCAGTTAAGCTTTGTTTCAGTTATCTTTATTTGAGCAGATTTCTGAAGTGTGGTACATTTTGTATCATGCCAGTGGTCTATTGGTATTAGAAGATTGGATTTGAATACTTTTCTCCTCAGAAGACTTGAGCCTTGTAGCGTGATACGCTCTGACGTTGCTTTGTGGTTCCAGTTCCATCTATTTTTCGTCTTTTTAAGATTGGCCGAGTATCTACTATTTCGTGACATCTTATCGTCTTCAAGATATTCCATCTGTTTGTTTTGTCAGCATAACATTCATTTACTCATTTACACTTATATCACGCATGCATATTCACATTTGTCGTTGATTTTGGGTTGTATACTTTGTTTATTCAAACAGCGTACATGTTTCTTTCCAAGTAGAATGTTAACTTAGGCAGAAAATGTGCTTCCTTTCTAAATTCACCAACTGAGCTAATCCTCGTAGATGAATTTTTGATTTAGCCTTCCTTGTCCATTTCTGGATAGGATGAATCCCCAATTAAGTTATTTTCTCATTGGGTGGAGTCTTGTTTGACTGTCTTCTCTCTGGTTTATTCCTGGAGGGAGTTTTTTGTCTCTTGCATAGGCTATCTCGTGGTTTTCTCCAAGCTAAACAACCTAGATGAATGGTGCATTTATTTTGCGCATTTAAGTATTTGACCTCCTCAGGAAGGATCTATTCATGATTCCCTTTGAAAAATAATTTTATTCTCTGGCAGTGTTATCGCAACTTTCTTCTGAAATATTTTTTGAAAACGACAAGCGGCGGTCTCTTCATGAGCAACTTGTGCGTTATTATTATTTTTGGAAAACGACAAGCGGAGGTCTCTTCATGAGCAACTTGTGCGTTATTTTTATTTTTGGAAAACGACAAGCGGCGGTCTCTTCATGAGCAACTTGTACGTTATAGACATTGTTAGAAAACGATAAGCGGCAGTCTCTTCATGAGCAACTGGTACGTTATTATTATTTGGAAAACGACAAGCGACGGTCTCTTCATGAGCAACTTGTACGTTATTATTATTTGGAAAACGACAAGCGGCGGTCTCTTCATGAGCAACTTGTACGTTATTATTATTTGGAAAATGACAAGCAGCAGTCTCTTCATGAGCAACTTGTACGTTATTATTTTTGGAAAACGGCAAGCGACAGTCTCTTCATGAGAAACTTGTACGTTATTATTTTTCTGGAATACAGCAAGTGGCAGCTTCTTTATTTGAGCAGCTTGTATGTCATAGTATTTTTTTTGGAAGACAGCAAGTGGCAGCTTCTTTATTTGAGCAGCTTGTATGTCATAGTATTTTTGGAAGACAGCAGGTGGCAGCTTCTTTATATGAGCAACTTGTATGTCATAGTATTTTTGGAAGACAGCAAGTGGCAGCTTCTTTATTTTAGCAGCTTGTATGTCATAGTATTTTTGAAAGACAGCAAGTGGCAGCTTCTTTATTTGAGCAGCTTGTGTATCTACAACCATATTATTATTTCAGCATTAATTGGTATATCTCCGGAAATCTCGCAGAGAAGTTTGTTATGAATCTTTACCTTCAGAAGTCGGTAATCCATTATCAGCAAATTTGGTACATCTTTTGTCTATCTGTGACCTTGAGTTGTGAACTCACTGTTATTTTGGGTCAATAATTTCTTTTTGTGGCCTATGCAAGATGCCTTCTTTGTTAGGGTCAGAGGTCGTATTCTCTCAAATTTTTATTCGCCGTCAAGAGTCTATCATTTGAAGTCGATGGCTCATTTCCCCAGTAGTGTATAATCTATGTTCCTGTGTTTTGTTGGTGTTTGGTTTCTCCAGCATTATCTTGTCTCATACAATATCATTCTCTGTGAATTTAAATACTACATTCATATCACAAACATAATGGCGGTATCTTAGGGCAAAAATTGCGTATTATGTATTTAAGTACCTTCAATCTCGTCGAGACGAAGATTTTAATCTTCATATCTCCGGATAGAAGAAACTTAAATAGGGGCAGCTGTCATACCCCAAATTTTGACCTAAGATACCACCTCCCATCTGCATCATTACATTGCAAGCGTTCACAAGCGATTTGACCTATTTTTATCAATTTTTAAAGAAAATTTTAAAAATTCATAACTTCTTCAAATTTCAATATTTTTGAGCGGTTGTTTTTGCACATGATTTTTCTTGACATCATCTACGACTTTTCTTTTCAAGTCAAGGGCAAATTATGCATTGAGAAGCCACGGAAAATTGTTGATGTTAGAAGTCGTTTCACGAATTTGATTTTTAATTTTTGACTATGTTTTTGTCTGATCATACATTTTACACTTTCTCTTCTCTTATTCTTATTCCCTGAAAAAATCCTTAAAAATAAAAAATATTTTTAGTTCATGTCATCTTCATTTTATTTACATTTTTATTCAAAAAAAAATAGTCTCTTTAAATTTTATTTAGATTTTTTTTTCTTGTATCATTTAAGCTGAAATTATAATCTTTTAGTTTTAATTTAGTAAAAAAATATCAAAAAATATGTGTTGTCATTATTTTATTTTAATTCAAAAAAAATCAAACAAAATATAATTAATATCTTTTCTTTTTTTGTTCTTTTAGTTATTATAATTTTTTTTTACTTCTTTCTTTCAATATTAATCTTGATTTGATTCTAATTTTAATTTAATTTTTTTTTAAGTTGGGTTATTGTTAAAATTAATTTTAATTTCTTTTTATTATTTATTCTTTGGAAATTTTAGTTTAATTCTTTTCCTTTTATTATTACTAACTGTTATTATTATTATTATTATTATTATTATTATTATATTTCTATTTATGTTATTTGTTTTCTTGCACAAATAATGCCAAGAAAAACAGTCAAATAACCTCTGCTGCCCTGTTATAAGACAAGCATACCAGTCCAGAAATTACATCAAAAATAACAAATTAAAAAAGCTGAATCAAAAAGTGACAAAGTATAACACCAATTTTGTTCAAATCCTACTGTTATTTCCCTCCTTAAATTGCAGGGGTCTTGGTGATATAAGGGGGATTTGAGAAACAATAAAAAGACCACGGATATTAGAGAAAAATTATTGATATAGGAGAAGAAAAAATATCAACAGAAAAAGAAAGTAAAACAAGACAGTAGAAAAGAAAATACATACAAGAACAAAGAGGGAGAACCTTGAACTCACCTTGTTTCAAAGAGCTCCATCGGAGAGGCTCCGATAGGTAAATGTTTCTGCAATCCTTCTACATATAATTCAATATTCATCTCTTCATTTGATCATCCTCATAAATTATTGGTGTTCCATAACTTGTTTTTTTTTATCACTGTGAGTGAAGAAAAAAAGAAATATTAGTTTTAACCAAATGCTCATTATGAGTCCTAGAGTACTAAAAAAAAACATTGTGTGGTAGTTGTTTGAAAGGTGTCTTGTTCCAACATTGCCTTTCCTGTTGACATTAGTGTGTCTGAGACGACTAAAAAAAAAAGACCACTTCAAAATCACACTCTCTGAAACTTCACTCCACAATTTCCAAATAACAGCATCACAGACAATCCCAAATCTCATGCCATTGAATCCACGGTCCAACGCGTTGCCTTTGCTCATCATCCTGCTATTTCAACCGAATCTACGTGAATCCAGTTTAACAAAAAAATAACACCCAAAGTACAAATTCTGAAGGAAAAAATAGCAGCAAAAAATTCAATAACCAAAACTCAGATTGAAAAACAAAGAGTGGAAAACATTTTCAATTTCATCTTTTTCAAATAAAATCAGAAGAGAAAATACCTAAACCTGAAAACCCTAAAACAACACAGTCGCTCATAAACCCTCCCATCGGCGCTGCTGTTTGCCATCGACACCAATCTTCGGCGAACTTTCAGTTGCTTCAAACCACCACTCTCTTTGCGAAACTGAATTTTATTGTTGTTTGCAATTTCAATCATGACGACTCCATTGTTGTTCTTGTTAGACGGAGCGAAAATTTACAGTGAGAGAGGAATAGATTTTTTGTGGTTTTGAGAAAGAAAAGATGAATTGACCGAGAGATCGATTGAGAGAAGTAAAGTTCGGAGGGAGTATTTTTGAGAGAGATATGAGAAGCATAATGAAACTAGTTTTGAAAGCAGAGGATGAGAACGTGAAATCAAGAGAGAGAGTTTATCATTTCTTTTATGACATTTAATTGGGTGTTATTAGAATTAGTAAGAGAGAGAGAGAGAGAGAAAGATTTTCGCTTGATTCTCTCTTGATTTAATTTTTAGTTAATTATTTTTATTTGTGGTAATTAATTAATATTTATTGTTTGACCAATTCCAATATGTTAGCCGCCGCTCCATCCTTCCTACAACTAGGGTTAATGTTTTCCCTTACAAATTTCGGGTTTGGGCCTCCCCATTAAATCCACCCGAATTTATTCCCTCATTCAGCCCAGCAATTTTTTTAATTATTTTGTATAATTATTTTATATAATTATTTTAATCTTTTTATTTGTTATGATAGCTGGGCTCTGTTGAGTTCAATTTTAAGCCTAATTCCGATTTTTTTTTGCTTTGCGCCCTAGTTTTTGTTCTATTTGATACCACTCATTTTGTCTTGTTATAATTAGTTTAATTTTTTTTTATTTCTTTTTATTATTGTTATTTAAACTAATTTAAAAATAATTTATTTAAATATTTAGTCTTTAATTAGATAGTTTTAATAATTAGTTTAGACTTAGAATCATTGTAGAAACTTTAGAATTTTATTTGATTTTATTTAGTTAATTTTAAAATTTTATTTGTTTAAGTTTTAGTTTAGTGACTTTAGAATTTTTATTTGATTTAGAATTAATATCTTTAGGATTTTTTTATTTGATTTAGAATTAGTTTAATATCTTTAGATTTTTTTATTTGATTTATAATTAATAACTTTAGAGTTTTTATTTTATTTAAATTTAGTTTAGTAATTTTAGAATTTTATTTGATTTAGATTTAGTTTAGTAACTTTGGAACTTTTATTTGTTTTAGATTTAATTTAGCAATCTTGAAATTTTAATTTAGTTTAGATTTAATTTACTAATTTTAAAATTTTAATTTAGTTTAGATCTAGTTTTTTTTTCTTTTCTTTTCCCATTAAAGTACAGTATCAACATAATAATAATAATATAAAATATTTTTTTTTTCTTCCCAATATAATAAAAACAGTATTAATAATAATATAAAAAAAAAATTCTCTTCCCAATATAATAAAAACAGTATTAATAATAATATATAATATACTATCCTTTCCCTCTTCCCAATAAAAGCAAATGATATTTTTTTTGTTTTTTCTTCCAACACCACAACACAGCAGTCGTCACCCTCCCTCCACAACATTAGGGTTTCAATTTTTTTATTTTTCTTCCCTTTGACCCGGTGGCCCATTGGGCCTTTTTAGTCCATTTTCAAAATTCAGTTTTTCATTATCTTTTATTTAACTTGTGCTACTAATGAATAAACAGCATTGGTTCAATTGGTAAAAGGTGTTAGTGGCATTCTAAGTGTCTTGGGTTCAAGTCTTAGTTGAGACACTTTTCTATCTTTTATTTCTTTTGGCCATATTATTTAACATACTTATTAATTATTAATTTAGGTTACTGTATAATTATTAATTATTATAAAAACACATAAAAACATTTAATTAAAATTCCACCTTTTATTTAATTTTGAAAACATACTTTTTCTATTATATTTTTGTGTTGTTATTTTATTATTCAAAAATACATGTTTCATGATTTAATTTTTGTCATGTGTTTAATTATTTAAAATCTATGATTTAATCTTCATGTACTTTTGGTTATTTATTTAATTACTAAAATGCATGCTAGTATAATTTAAATTTCATTAGTTAATTGTTTAATTATAATTTTAATTAATTGATCGTTAATCCGCATATCTTTCGTCCGTTTCAATCCAAGGGAATTGTTTAATTTTGCCGACTTCATGTCATCAAACATATAGCGCGAATACCCTCATTCATATTCCGTTTATTATTTTGTTAAAAAACTTAAGATAATTTTCCCAAATATTCAATTTTTCAAAACTCATACCTTTTAAGTCAAAACTTCGACGTTAGGTCGTCGTGTTTTCGAAAACTCGTCCAATACCCATCTTTGGCCAAACAATTTATTTTTAATCAAACAAACATTTTTTTAATAAACAGATATTTCAAAAGGTTCCTATAGAATACTATAGATACATTGGGTGTTAATACCTTCCCATTGTATAACCAACCCCCGAACTCTAGACCTCTTTTCAAAAACGCCTTGTATTTTCATTACTTTTAAAAGTAACTTTACATTGCATACTTTAGGGTTTTATTTCGCTCTTTCCCCTTTTCCCTTGGAAATAATAAAGCGCGGTGGCGACTCTTGCTTTTGTGAGACGAATTAATTAATAATTCGATCTCCGATTTACCCCGCTACATTTTTTATCGCTACAGAAA